GAGAGTCCAGAGAAGAGCCACGCGCATGATCAGAGGTCAGGGAAGCAGGCCCTACGATGACAGGCTGAGAGCCCTGGGGCTCTTTAGCCTTGAAAAGCGCAGGCTCAGGGGGGACCTGGTGGCTGCCTATAAGCATATAAGGGGGGTATATCAGGATCTGGGGGAATTCCTGTTCACCAGAGCGCCCCAAGGGATGATGCGGTCAAACGGTCACAAACTTTTCCAAGACCATTTCAGGTTGGACATAAAGGAAAACTTCTTTACTGTCCAAGCCCCCAAAGCCTGGAATAGACTGCCTCCAGAGGCGGTGCAAGCACCTACTTCCAGACTCCTTTAAGAAACAAATGGACGTTTATCTTGCTGGGATCCTTTGACCCCAGCTGCGTTCCTACCCCTGTGGCAGGGGGCTGGGTTCGATGATCTTCCGAGGTCCCTTCCAGCCCTAATGTCTATGAAATCTTTGGAGTTAATTAGTTTACTCTGGCGTAATATCTGCACATGTATAGACAGCAATACTTTACTTTAGAGCTAATTAGTCAACTTCACAGTAAAACGCATGTGCAAATGCTCCACTGTTACTTGGTGTGCTTTGTCCCCACTTTAAACATCTTAGGCTCCTCTAGTACCACAGTATTTAAGCTCTCTACCAACAGAGCTTAGACACTAGGGCTGGGCAAACTTCAGTCACTGATTCGATTCGGTGGAGATTCAGCCCGATTCAGTGGCCAAATCTTTGAATCCAGATCGAATCAGGAGACCCTTTAATGTCTCTGAATCAAATCAGAACCCTCTGAATCAGTTTGGAAAGATTCAATGATTCAGACCTAGACACAGCTTTAACTGTTTTTTCTACATACCTCAAGGTAGCAGCGGCTCATGAATGCAGAGATGCTAGGGTGGATAGAGTGTCCCAGAGGAGCAGGGGGGAGTCCCCAGCACCCTCGGCAGCAGACCTAGAAGTGGACCAGAAGCACTTCCGGTCTGCTTCTGGGTTCACTGCCAAGCATGGGCCTCCCCATGCTCCTGTGGGATGCTCCATCGGCTCCACCATCACAGCATTCACGAGCTATGCCGGGTACCTTGAGGCATATAGAAAAAACAGTTAAAGCTGTCTGTGGCTGAATCAGTGATTCTCCAAATTGGCATTGAATCTTCAGATTCGTATTTGGCCGAATCGAATCGGGGACAGCGATCTGAGTTGAATCAAATTCCTGTCCCCAATTTGGGCCGAATCTGAATTGAATACAGCCCATTTCGCAAACTCCTATTGGACACTAAGAAGTAAAGCCCCTCAAGCTGATTTGGATTGCTTCTGAGCATGCATAGTAACTGAAGTCTAGGTGACCAGAGATATTCCCAGGTCAAAATAGAGGTACCTAGAAAATCTAGATAGTTTTTTACCTACTGGGCAGGGGTCAATTTAGGAAATTTTTTTTTTGTGATTTAGGTGCCTAAATTCCACCTAGAAGAGACGTACAAGGTCAACAGGGATCTGGCCATAAGTGACCCAAGGAACACAGGAAGTATATGGCAGAGATGCTAATAAAATGTGGATTTCCTGGGACCCAGTGCAGTTTGTAAACTACAAGTCTGGCCTTGCTGATGCCATGGATCATGCCTCCCCTTGCTTCAGACAATCAACCTTCTGCACCAGCTTGATCCTTGACACAGCCTTACTTCATTTACTGTTTAGCCTGTGAATGCAATAAGGCAGGAAGCCAGAGGGAGGCAGATAGTATGTGGTCACATAATAAAGAACTGTACCATAATGCAGACACACAAGGATACTGAGGTATGGTTCCAAGGACAACCTTCATTCTGGCATTGTATAACATTTTAGCACTTGACTTTGGAAGGTTAATGTTTTTGTAATGTAGGGTTTTAGTAAGGAAAATCATACATATGGTATAACTTAATGGGTTCTTAATTTGGCTTAATATTCCATATGAATATGAAAACTGAAATCCCAGGGGCTTATGTTGGTGGAGCAAGGAAAATTAGTTACCCTAGGGAAAAAAAATTGCACTACACTCCCAATAAAGATACAGTGCAAGGTTAGCATACTTGTTTAGAAACCTGTTTCTATAGTAACTGCTGCAGATTGCCATTTCTCCAAGTGTTTGGAGTGTTACCAGTCAATTTAACACTAATGCTGTGAGGAACACGCCCTTTGCTAGCTACAGCAATTTATGTCTGACAGTACTGTATTTAAATTTGAGGACAAATTTGGTAACTGTAGATGGGATTTAGAGATGTTTATGGCATCTTTTTTTTTCTTTTCTTACCCTTTGGCTCCTGAAGTACTGTCTTATTCACCCTGGGTGCTCTGATAATACAGGTATTTTATTTTTCATGATGTACAAAGAATAATCCACATTTGAATCCTGTGACCAGGGAGCAAGTATACAACTTGCTTCTTGAGTGTTGAGGAAATTCAGATTAAGCACTGATAATTTTAATTAGTAGATTGTGTCCATGGAACAACTGAATCGGGCATGAGGTAGCACTACATATGCCAAAGGCCAACATGAGGTTGATGTATCGCTTATACCTGAGCACGAGGCTTAGGTGGGATTAAGTGGTACATGAGCTTTGTTAGCCCTCTGCTTCACAATGAAAGCTTTTCTGTAATATAATAAAAAAGAATTTTATTTTGGTTTTTTTTAATCACAGAAATTGTATATCCTCAAATAAAGGTTGTTTTTACTTTCCTAAACTTCATTGAATTTGCTTTCTTGAGTATTTCTTACTCAAGACAATACGTATGACATTCCACGGACCCCCTTCCCACCCTGCCTTCCCCCCCACAAATATAGTGAGGTTTTTGACAGGTGGATATGTTTGCTGTCTGTTGTAAATACTTAAAGATGTGACAGAGCTTCCTACTTTCTTTTATTCCTTTCCAGATGGATGAGATAAAAGGCAAAGACAGAGTGATTTTGGCTCTGGAAAAGGACCTTGGAGTCCAGGCAGGCCATACACAAAAGCTGCTGCTTCAGAAGGAAGCTTTGGATGAACAACTTGTCCAAGTAAAGGAGGCAGAGCGGTACCACAGCAGCCCCAAGAAAGAGCTTCCTGGTGGAATAGGCGATATCACTGAAATGATGGGCAGTCCAGTAAGTTAACCAAGTGTTCTTCAAATTGAACACCTACTTTCTCCTCTTTCATTGAGTCTCCGGCTACTCTGCAGATATATGAATGGACTGTGGCACCGATAATGGCTCTGTGTCACATTGTCATAGTAACAAATAGCTGTTTTCTTTTCTTTGTTTAAAATTCCATGAGCTTCCTGAATTTCAAAGAATGTTTTAAATGCTTGAATTGTAAACACGTAAATATGTAGAATTCAGCTAAAGAGTGAGATTTACAGCTGAGGCTATTCACAACTGAAGAAGTATGTTTTTTCAGTTATGGTAACAAACCATTAGTTTTCTTCAGACATGTATTTGAGCATGAGCTATTTTATACAATGACAATGCACATTTAAGCATGTAAGTACTTATCCTCTTCAAAAACGTGCACTAATATGTTTTAGAAGTATGTGCTTATTAATCTTGGTGCGAGGCTTGGAATAATGGTAATAAATGACTGACTGACTTTTTAAACAATAAAAGTTTAGCTTTATTTATTTATTTTTTTTTTTTGAACAGTGAACCAAGAATTACTATTCTGGTTACTAACATTTGTTATTTCATAGAAATATGTCTTTATAAAATAGCTTCAGTTATTGTGCTGATTTAAAGAATATTTTTTAATCGTTGATAGAAATGCACAGAAATATTTCTCTCTGCATTTCCCATTCAGGTTCATACATAGAATGTTAACTTTAACTGCTGTGATCTAAGTTTACATTTCTGGGTAGTAAATTAAGTTTCTGAAAAATGAAAAATCCTCTTTTGGTTCGTCTTTTTCTTATAGGAGCAGCATTTGGATGAGCGAGATGTGCGAAGATTTCAGCTAAAAATTGCTGAACTGAATGCTGTAATACGAAAACTGGAAGACAGAAATACCCTTTTAGCAGATGAAAGAAATGAATTGGTAAATTAATTGGTAAAAACACAGATGGTAACTTACAGGAATTTACAGGGAAGTGGCAGGTTGTTGATTTTGTCTGTGTTGGTCTAGGGACCTAGGCAGGCAAGGTTTTTTGGGTAGATGTGGTATCTTTTCTTAGAAGAACTTTTTTCCAGCTACTTAGTTTGTCTAAAAAGATATTACATCTACCCAAAGAAACTTGTCTGCCAGGGAAGTGGTATAATATTATCCAGAAAGTTGTGCTTTCAAGCAAAGCTTAACATCAGTTTGGGTCTACTAAACCATACTTTGAATGTGTAGAGGAAATCTTTAATTCTTCCTTTTTTAATCTTCCTACTTGGTTTATTTTTCCTCTTTTTTCTTCTGTTTTTTTATATATCTTTCACTACTCTTTGCCAATAGCTTGTACAGAGATGTTCAGCGTTTTTTTTCCACATAATATTGTGAGACCCTCAAGAAATTACTTTCTTTTAATTAACCTTTGTTGTCTTTGTCTCTTTCTTTTAATAAATACATGCATCTCTTAAGGCCTTGTCAGACCTTACCCTGTAAGCCAAACAGATGTTAATCGACTTTGTGAAGTAGTCATACGGTAAGACAAAAAAACTGCTCTGATTGCCCCTCACCTCTACAGCTGTGACTAGCTACTAGATGCCTGGTGAACAGGGGCAGGAGTAGGAGCTAGGGGAAGGACAGTCTTAATGCTTCTGCGGTGCAGAGTGAGTACTGCAGCCCCGGTGCCTCCTGCAGTCCCTTGGACTGGCTCTGCTCCTAGCTCTAGTGAGCCAGTCCGACTTGGGGAGGCATCACTGCTCTCACTGGCTCTGCTCTTGGCTCAGTTCCCAGAACAGAGCCAGCCGGTCCGAGTGGGGGAGGCAGCACCAGCTCCTTGCTGGTGCTGACAATGGCTCTGCTCCCAGCTCAGCTCCAGAAGCAGAGCCAGCTGTCCTCACACCAGAGGAGGCAGTATGTTTCCCCCCTTCAGACTGGATGGCTTTACTCCCAGAGCTGAGCCAGGAGTAGAGCTGGTGAGTGTGGTGGTGGGGAGGTGGTGTCCTTGGCTCGGACTGACTCACTCTGCTCTTGGTGAGGCACTGAGCCCCAGCTTCCCCACTTGCCTGCTGCCTCCTGGGGTGCTGGAGGACTTCAACTTGGGTGGAAAAGCTGGGGAGAGTGGCCACAAGTTAATGGAACAAGTGTAGGATTAAAGATAATATTGCCCTGGAGTGTTGTAAAATTACGCTGAATAATGTGACCTTTAAAAAATTGTTAACATGCAGCCGGTCCAGGGTTCAGAACTCCAGAAGCCACCTAAAGTTACCATGTAACAAGGAAGCTGCTAGTCCTGTTACCCTGAACAGTGACCTTCCAAAAAGACATGCTAAAGTATGATTTTTAAAAGAAAAAGCGATTACATGTGAATTCACAAGTTTTCTTTCTTCCCAAAGTAATTTTCCTGCTCTTAAGATACCGAATATCATACCATTTAATCAAATATGGATTTTGAAAAGGCTAATCTAGAGAGGGAGGAGCAGTCTTTTCCAAGTCCACTACATTTTCATTGAGGGACAAGGATGGAATGATTAGTTGTCTTTCTACTTGTTATTTTGTGTGAAAGAGGGAGAAATTATCGTTTGCAACTCATTGTTGCAAAAGGTTTCATGACTGATTTCACCCCCCCCCCCCCCAACCCCTTTTTTTTGAATCTTCACCCCCCCCCCCCCCCAAACTTCTTTTTTTATCATCTTCTGGAATGACTAGTAATGTTGCTAACTCATAAAGACATGACTAAGGAACCCAATGCTATGAATATGGTTTGTGAAATATAGAAAAGACAAATGTGTCTTCTCTTTTTTCAAAGATGTGTGATAATTTTAGAAATATATTTTGTTTTGGTAGTTATAACGTTGTATCAAATTATATGTGATAGTTTACATGCTGCCTTTTAACACATATATAACTCATGCATTGAATTGTCTGACTTAATCTTTGCAATCACAAAATGTGACAGAGACATGAAAAATGGTCTTGTTTGCAATAACAGAAAAAAATCAATTCAGTATTTTTGAAATGCTAGATTAGAATGTCATTAAGTCTTTTCAGTACTGACAAGTGCAAGGTACTGCACCTAGGGAGAAAGAACCAGCAGCATACCTATAGGCTGGGGAACTCCCGTCTCTTCAGCACAGAGGCAGAAAACGATCTTGGAGTCATTATAGACTCCAAGATGAACATGGACTGCCAATGTGGGGACGCAGTCAGGAAGGCTAACCGCACCTTGTCATGCATCACGAGCAGGTCCAAGGAGGTGATCCTCCCCCTCTGTATGACATTGGTTAGGCTGCAGTTGGAATACTGCATCCAGTTTTGGGCCCTGCACTTCAGGAGGGATGTGGACAACATGGAGAGGGTCCAGAGGAGGGCCATTCGCATGATCAGGAGGCAGCAGGGCAGGCCCTACAAAGAGAGGCTACGAGACCTGAACCTGTTTAGCCTCCACAAGAGAAGGCTGAGAGGGGATCTGATGGCCGTCTATTAACTGGCCAAGGGAGACCAGCAGGCAATGGGAGAGTCCCTGGTCCCCCCCGAGCACTACTGGGAGTAACAAGGAATAACAGCCATAAGTTGATGGAGAGTAGATTCAGGCTAGATATCAGGAGGCACTACTTCACTGTCAGGGCAGCTAGGATCTGGAACCAACTTCCAAGAGAAGTGGTGCTCGCTCCTACCCTGGAGGTCTTTAAAAGGAGGCTAGATAGACACCTTGTCAGGGTCGTTTGACCCCAGCATTCTTTCCTGCCCATGGCAGGGGGTCGGACTTGATGATCTGCTCAGGTCCCTTCCAACCCAACAAACTATGAAACTATGAAGTCCATCCTCTCTGTTCTCTGCAATTTTCTTTCTTAGGTGTAGAACTTCCTCTCTGTCGATGTCTCCCAGGTGCTTAATGCTTATGTGGCCCTTACCAGCGTGGTGGCAGTACTCTCTCTAGTAGAGAGTCTCCCCTCCCACACCCACCTCCCTATCCCTTGTTCATGACATGCTTTGCCTCACAGGGCATCCTGTGTAAAGTCCTCAGCGGTAAGAATTTCCCAAAATGAATCCCTGCTAAAAATCACTCCCAGTTTCACTGAAACCTTTGAACTGGTTTGTGTAGTCTATCAGCAGAAAACTTTATAATATAGGTTCTAAAAGAATATGTATCAGAACAGCATGATGCAGTTCTTGTCCTGCACTTCAACTAGGAAAATTAATAGATTGCTTAGAAACGTTTAGGGACTTTGACCCTCATGCATACACTAGTGTAATCGGAATTAGTGCTGCCTCAATTAATGGAGTTACCTTAGTGTAAACTGAAGTAAATTGAAATAGAATCATGTCCCCTTCTGATAGCTTTTCTATTCAAGAGAACGCATGAAGAGATAATAACAGTCTTCAACTATCTGAAGGGGGGTTTGAAAGAGGATGGAGATAGGCTATTCTTATTGGTGGCAGATGGCAGAACAAGGTGCAACCGTCTCAAGTTGCAGTGAGTGAAGTTTAGGTTAAATATTAAGAAGAAATTTCTTGCTAGGAGGGTAATAAAATACTGGAACAGGTTACCCAGAGGTCCCCAGAAGGCTCCATCCTTGGGGGCAGAACTGACCCGAGCAGGGTGCGGGGCCCAGGGCAAATCAGTTCATGCAGGGCCCTGCCCCCGCTCCAATCCCATGGACCACGGTGTGGGGGGGAGGGTAGCGAGCAGCTGGACGTGGAGCCACCACTCCACCCAGCTCCATGAGGCACCCCAAAGTGCGGGGCCCAGGGCAGTTGCCCTGATTCATGCCACCCTTGGGATGGCCCTGCTTGGGGGTTTTCAAAACCCGGTTAGACAAAGCTTTGGATGGGATGGTCCTAGTCGGGAATGGTCCAGCTTTGAGCAGCGGGTTGGACTAGATGACCTCCTGAGGTCCCTTCCAACCTAACTTTCTAGGGTTCTATGATATAACACCAGCAGAGTCTCCCTGTGCTTGCAGAAGGGTGTTTGTGCCTGAAAGCTTGCAAAGAACATTTTTTCCTACTACATAGTTGGTCTGATAAAAGATATCGCATTCCAAAGAGCCTTGTCTGCCTATGTCCTTAGACCAACATGGCTACAACCAACAACCCTTTGTCTTCAAGTAGTTTTATGAAGAACAATTTAGAATACAGAGCAGTTTGGGTTTTTTTGGTGTGATACTTAATAATACATGTCTATTTAGGTAGTATAAGTATATTTTGATGATCTGAGTAAGGTAGTGTGATCCTGCAAGTAATTTTTTCTGGTATTTAGTTCTCAATACAAAATATCCTTTCTACTCTTAACCATATTTTTTATTTTTCCTCTATTCATTAGTTGTTTTTTTTTTCCATTTTAACTTTACCTTACTCCTTTTATCTAATATAAAGGAGAAGACAGTGTTTAGTAACCTGGTCACTTCTTTAGACATATGATTTACCGTTTTCCCTTAAATGGTAGAGGCAGTGCATTAAAATATCATAAATATATTTTAGACAGTAGAAAAAAATATTTCTGTCAGATGAAGTTGCATGTTTATAGACCCAGTTGCTTCAGTAAACTGCTGTAATTAAGTTCTTATGAGGAAATATGTTCTTTATTCTCCCTCACCCTGAAACAAAGAACCAAATCTTCATTGAATCCATTCAGGAACAATGTTATCTTTCAGGATTTTCAATTAAAGCAGAGAATGTTCAAAAGTGTGTATGATTAAAAAATAACCCTCTTTGTTTAGTAACAAAACAGTCCGGTGTTTTACTTCATCTATTTTTATTAGTTGTTGAATACCCGCAATCGGGAGAAAGGTCAGCAATTTATCCCAGATGATTGCCTAACATAAAACCACAGGAGCAAAATTGAGCAGCTTGAAAATGTCAATAGAACATTTAGATGGAATTGGTGCCCTCTGGCTGTTTCCCTGATTGCTCTAATTACATATTGGGTTTAATTTTCTTGAAGTAAAGAAAAGCAGTATATATCTAATAAAAGATTTAAAAATGGTTATCATGCTGCATTCTCTGCAAAAGGTCTAATCAATTGTAGGAGGCATATATGTAAAATGATTAGTTTATCAAGAGACCTTGTGAAATGTGGGTGCTTTCAGAGAGCAAGGAATGATGATTAACTTCCGCAGTGAAGGTGTCTTACAGATTTCAGAAGAAAAGGTACCTCTGCTATTAGTTAATGCTCCATTCTTGCCATTTATTTTTACTCAGATACATGCAGTACAGTTCAGCAATAGCATGCATCCCATGACAGTAAGCAGAAGAAAGAGTTTCTGAGTAAGTGAGAGAAAAATAAAGATGAAGTGATGAAAATTCAAGTATTTTGTCTTCATTCAGGTCATTGTAGCTCAGCTTATATCTTGTTTGTTAAACTTGGTTTGATTTTTCTGATTTTTTTGCAGCTGAAACGTTCTCGGGAAACAGAAAGTCAGCTGAAACCCTTGGTAGAAAAAAACACAAGGATGAATAAAAAGAATGATGACATGTTGCAGTGTATCCAGAGAATGGAAGAAAAAATTAAAAATCTTTCAAGGGAAAATGTAGAACTAGTAAGCAACTATTTCTTACCTACCAGAAGTCTCCTTATATAAGCAACTTCCCATTCATAGCACCATGTACAGTAACTATATGTTTCAGAATGTGAGCAAGATGATTGTGTTAATGTTACTATAGCATGTTTGAATGGTGTTGTATCCTAAAATCAAAGAGTTTTATTTCTTTGTTCTTTGTCTTGTATCAAACCACACTGATTAAGACTATAGGCAGTTGTCTTTCAATATGTGAAGACTACTTGGGGGGTCTAAAAATAGAGGGTGAAAATCAGCTTCAATGTACAGTTGGATTTATATAGATGTATCTGTCAAATTTCACCTTGAACTATATATATTAGAAATGGGAAAGATATTGCTCTATTATATCTTTTAGTCTACTTACCTTGGAATACAGGATTGTTCCCTAGAGTATGTTCTCCAGTGCTTTTTCTGTTCTACTTTAAAATCTCATAAGTGGGATCGTGCATTCTCTATGTTAGGTATTACCTTATTTCAGGGGAGGGCAATTATTTTGGGCGGAGGGCCGCTTACTGAGTTTTGGCAAGCCATCAAGGGCCGCATGACAGGCAGCCAGGGGTAGATGAACATTAATTTTCTAGATTTTTTTTTTTAGGGGGCACGTGGGCCAGATAGAATGGCCTGGTGGGCCGCATCTGGTCTGCAGGCCACATTTTGCCAGCCCCTGCCTTATTTACCCAAATGTAAGGCCAGGACTCCTCCCTTGTTGACCGGGGGGGGGGAGGAAGTCCTTTGTCTTAAATTTGCATACAAGGAAACCTCACTAAATACATTGTTTATTATTAAACTGCTGCCAAAAGCAGCATGTGCTCAGTAATGGAAACCAATTTTAAGTTGATTATGTGCAGCCAACAGTGAGCATGACTAAAACACAATATGTATTTCTATATATATAAATATATAAAATCACAATTCCTCTACCAATCTGTCCCATGGCTGCTATGGCTCACTTGACAGTCCAAAGCTCATCATTGTAATTACATTATACACATTCCCATCTCATTATCCACCCAGCACACCTTTTAAGGAAACTGTTTCATGTTGCAAGCCAAATCAATTCCAAATCCATGGGTCATTCAAGGACCGTATTTGGCCCTACTACTGGCAAACATCCTCCACCTCCACCTAGGGCTTCAGATGTTTCCAAATAATTTGGCAGGCATCCTACATGCAGGTCCAAGCTTGGAGGCTTGGGGTTTGGATGCCCCCAAGTTTCGCTAACCCTCAGCCATGTGGCTGCAGGAGCAAGCTAGGGAGGAGGTACACCTGGATAGTGGAACCCTTCTGAATATGACTTAGTACTGCCCACTGAGCACAGTCCTTCTCTTTTTCAAGTCATGGTGAGCCGCTGCATTGCATACATTTTTATTTCCTTTCTTCGCACACAGCTGAGCTTCGCCTTTCTTTCCCATTTCCAATGATTCTTGTTTCTTCACCAGCCTTAAATGTCTGACAAACATCACCAAATGGGGCCCCAAACAGTTTACCCAGTTTACCTCTGTCAACTGCTCTCTCAGCCCTGTTGCATATGATTAACATGGCCTTGCCCTTCATGAGGTAAAGCCAGACTAGGTTGTCGTATGCTTCATCTGCAAATTTTTTTTGAAGGATCCCAAGACTTGTAACAAGAACACCCAGTTTCGGACATGAGTGGGGACTAATTAGCATGTGGTCCTTTTGTGGGTGTATCTGGAATACACAGGGGTTTAGGTTGTAGCCGTGTTGGTCTAAGGATATAGGCAGACAAGGTTCCTTGGGTGAATTTGATATCTTTTATTAGACCAACCCAAATGGTTGGAGAATAGTTATTAAGCAAGATTTCGGGTTCAAAAACCCTTCGTCAGGCTCAGGAAGCTGCAGCAGTT